TGAAGCTTCATGAAAAATATTTGTCCACTCTCTCGTAGGTCTCGACGTAATTATTATAATGACTCGCGTCACGGTTGAGGGATAAAAGGGAGAGGGAACATGCACGTGCATCTCTTGCGCGGGCGCGCGCTCGCGCGGTTGTTTGCTTTAAACAGGATTTTAATGCACTCAAGCAGCTCTTTTGCCGCGCGTCGTGTTGACTATGCACTTTGTCTTACCTGCGTAAATAAGGCAGGGGCGAGCTCGACGACGCCGTGAACGCGTTAGGAGGAATTCTTTGAGCCACTCGACATTGTTGCGCAGAGGCCCGTTTGTGTTAAGCGGTGCCACCGGTCATTCAAAAAATCTGTCAGCAGACTGCCAGCGAAGGCAAACTCTCTCGCAGCGCGCTTTGAATTCAGGTATTATTAGCTGACATTCAACGCTACGAGGAACTGTCGCCTCTCTTGTTGATAAAAGGAAATGGTTCCACTTAAAATTCTTGTCCGAGTATTATAGCAGTTCGGAATGAAATCTTTGGAGTGGCGTTGAAACACCGGCACGTAATAAAGAAAATTTAAACAACTTGTAAATTTGCATTAACAGACGCGTCTTCCGTCGTTTTGTTGGTTGGTTTAACAAGATTGCAAAATGTAAAAATTTAGATTACTAATATTATTATTTCATTTAAATGTGCAGTTTTATTATTACAACTCAGAAATGCTTTTACGCGCGCGATGTAATTAGTGGAATTATTTTTTACTGAATTAAAAACACCATTTTCAGCATTTTGCTAAGATACAATCCTGAAACGAGATTTTGCAAGGGCCAGACAGTTGCATCGTGAAATAGATATATTACGCACGCTGTCAAATTTCGAACACGCTCGCGATGCTGCGGTAACAACTTCCTAACGGCGTTGTGAAATATCACCCGCCAGCAACCCGCTGCATAAGCATCGACGTATTTCGGCGCGGCCGCGGTCGATGGAAAGAGTTAATATTGACGTTCCCGTTTATCTTGCCGGCGGATCTTGCATCCTGCGCGAAGATGTACGGCCTGTTGCGTGTTTCATGAAAACAATGTCAATCGTAGCGCGATAAATCGGCCCGTTCGGATCTCGCGCGCACCTCGGCGCGTCGTCACCTCGTTTCTCTTCCCCCTCCCCCCCCCTTCTTCACCCCTTCTGACGATACTAAAAACCCCGCGAATGGAGGAGAAAAACAAGCGAAATATCGCGGGAAGATCAGGCTGAATCCTGGCGAAGGAATATCCTCCGTATATACAAAATTTTACAACCGAGATTTTACGGTGAAAGTTTTCCGCGAGACCGACTGTGGCCGAACGACATGGAGTTGCACACGCGTGAGCCGTGCTTTCGGGACGGGTGAAGAAGTAATTCGTCCCAAATCGATGCAATCCCGTGGAAGCCGGAAACCAATTTCGAAAGAATTGCAGCCTGGAACCCCGTCCACGTGGGGTAGCCCTGGGGCCAAACAGTCGCGCGTAAGAATGCGGTAACTCTCGGAAGACCTTGAGAATCTTGAGAGAATCTCGATCGATCCGGGAAAGAGTGTGGTATCCAAGATATTCGCTCATTTTCTCTTCCCCGTCGACCGGGATCTAAATGTTGCAAGCGTTATCTCTTTTTCCGGATAATTGCGCTCTCCTTCTCCCTCAACGTCTACATTTAGCGGTCTCGATGTCAAATATAAACGAGGGGCGAACTCAACTTAATATGCGATGTATAAATTCCTATCGCGCTGTTTATCGCATCTTTCATTCATGCTACACGAAACTTTCAGGATTAAGTTCTGTAATCCTTTTCCAAGTTACGCGACTTGTATGCGAATGGAGTTTTCAGCAAGAATATTCGAGTCGCCGTTGACCAAGTATCTTCTGTCATCACGCTCCGTCTCGTTTCTGTTTTTCTTTTTTTCTTTGCTTTTCCACCGTCGCTGTCTCTTCTCCCAATATTAGCATGCCGCGTTTGAAGACAGTAGTGAAAAAAGAAATCTTTTCTATGTTTTTTCCTTATTTCGGTAAAACCGCCGAGCGTGTCGAGAGGACGTTATCGCGCGGGAGACGAGGAATATTCGCCATCCGCTTAATTTTCTTAATGGATCAGCCGGTAGCTAGTTCAATGAGGGATTACGGAAAAGAGAAGGGCAGCGAGGTAGCTGCAATTTTCTTCCCGCTTGTCTTTCGCCGCGCCGACTTGCCTTACCGCTTTCATTCCTCGTGTTCATTTTCTTGCGCGATCGCGGCGTGCCGCGCCGAGTTACCGTTTTTCTGGCGGTGGCGAGAGAGAAACTTCTCGGCTTGAATCATATCTTCTTCCCTTGGTATGTCGGTATCGTTACCGACTAGCATTTCGTTCGCTCGTGGCCAGTTCTTGTTCCTTACAGGAGGTAAGGTAAGACAAAAACATTTCACAGTGGAAGATCTCTCGCGCACGAACCACAACGGTTTGTTGGAGCGAAGGAAACGGGGAAGTATTTGTTTCAGGACGTGATAAGTGAGAAGTGTAAAGTGGAGATTCACCGTCTTTCTCGCGGAGTGCCTGTATATCGAGCGCAAATATCCGCCACTCCACTCTAATATTAAACCTTTGTTTGATATATATTTAACAAAACATTGGTGGATTTTTTTATATTTATATACGAGAAAACATTTTCCAGTTTATTTAAAAGAAATATTTGTAGTAATTTATTTGTTTAAAAGAAATATTGATGTTAATCTATCTATCTATAGACAATATATATATATATATTTGCTGTGATCAATCGCTGCGAAAGAATAACACGGAATATTCGTTCGGAGGATCAGAATAAGCAGATGCAGACTTTAAAAAACGCACAAAGGCTGGGAATGCCTTCTGTCGCTAACGGACCCTTGCAGCGTTTTATAGAACAATGCTAGACGGAGGGGGGGGGCGCAATACAAAGAGCCCGCAAATTGGCTTCGATGGTACGTAGACGGGCCGCCATTCGGGCAAATCAGCGCCGCGAGGTTACGGTCGTCAAATCAATATTTGCACCTCGCCACCCTCGCACACAGGGAGAAACCAGTGTGCAAAGTCAGGCGTGTCGGAATTAGCGAAGAAGGAAGGAAGGAGGCGGGGAAGGCGAGAGAGGGTCAGACTCGACGGTGAACGACGACGACGACGACGACGACGACGATGACGGGGAGGAGAAGGTGTGAGCGCGCGGGGGTGGCGACGGGACTACGGCGGTTGGCGGCGTTGGAAATCGGTGGTAAACTGAATTAACCCCGTGTTGACCCGCGACCGTATGTTACCAATGACTTTCTATTACGTCGTTGGAGCCGCACGGATAGAGTCCATTATAATCGAACACTGTGGCCACAGAGATGGAAAAGGAATGATCGAAGTGCCGTCAGCCGGGAACGCTTGTGCAAACGCTATACTCCCCGATCGCTCATACATTGGCTTCGTTCGCGCTCGCGCGCGAGATTTGTTGGATTTATTGGCTCAGCCGAAGTTATTTGCCGAAACAAGAAAACGCGCGGCAACCTTTCTCTTTCGCGTTTATTAAAGGAGCGGAAGTTAGTTTCCGATCGCTGCAGCTAAACACGAGCACGCCAACCTTCCAGCAATTTTTGGTATGTAATGCAGTCTGTAGCACATCGATCAACCCGGCGATTACGTTCTCGCGTTTTGGCTTTTTCGTGTCGACAAGCGACAGCACGAACAGACGCTCGGACGATAAGTTCTTTGAGTTTGATGCCTTTCAAGTTTGCAACGTGGTTTAACGCGGCCAATATTACAGGAAAATATACAGAGGGAGGCGTCAAGAAACGTTTCCCCTTTGCAGCTTACACGCGAAAGCAGAAAGACTTTTGAAGGCTTGACAACGCGAATATAAGTATTTCCCTGATAAATATATTTATCAACTCTTTGGCATGTTCGCTAATCTGTCAGCTCCCGTCGATCGTAGAGTAAATCCGAAGGATTTAAATTTTCGATTTGAAGATAAAATAGAAAATTAAACTGCAAAATGGAAAATGAAACTGCGATTGAGAATTTATTATATATTTTATTAAAAATTTATACTCTCGATGAACGAATTGAGTTCGATTTTATTATTATTCGCTCGAAGATCTCTTTGCGCGCGTGTAATTTTTGATTCGTAAAGAATATTGGCAGCGTGCGCATGTACGCGCGATGACTATTGCTTCTTATAAATTTATTATCTTTTCCATCGAGTTCGCCTTTGATTTGCATCAAAGACAGAAACTATGACTTAACGGGCATTGATGCGGGACGCGCGCTGTTTGCTATTTCCCCACGGAGTCGCATGGAGAGTTGCGGAAAGCCAGTGAAACTGTCACGTCGCGTGCACCGAAGCGGGTATAGGTGTTCGTTGATTGAGAGTAATCTGTTTTGTTAATTGCAAGGTCCGCAGAGTCCGATACCTGCGGTTGCGTTGTGCTGCGTTCAGCATTACAAGCTCTCCTGCCCTGCCGGCGATAGTCGCTTCCACCCTACGTTCGCCGGTGGACCGAACCCGTCCTCCCCTACCGTCCCGCCGTCTCTACGTGCCGGCTCTCGCAGCAGTCGCCGACCGCAGTGTGAGCCCGTCGTGGAGAACAGCGGAGGAGACTACGGGATCGGTTAACCGACTAATTGCAATACTGATGCGTCCGCTCGCAGTATTTGTGAAATTGCGATCATATCCGCCGTCCTTGCGACGCCTATCAACGATATAACAGGCGCTATCCGTGCGCGCCATAACTGCGCCCCGTGTCCGAGCGTGCGCTAATGGACCGTCAAAAGCGAAATTCAGCGTTTTTTCCCCGGCCGGGCCGCGTCATTTTTCAGAGAGCATGTCCGCCCCGCTCGCTTTTCAACGAGCCGACGGAAAAAAATGTAGCGCAGTCGTTATTGTTGCAGCAACCAATGCGCGATCGACGCGTAAATGTAGGAAGTCGAGTAAGGAAACTGGTTTGTTCACCGCCCGACGAACACAATGCAATCGGTTTTTTTTTTTAATTTCCTGCTGTTAGCGAAAGATCTACTTGTTCGTGTGAAAAGCGAAATCTTTTGTAAGGTACGAAGTCGTCGTATCCGTTTCGCGTAATGTGAAAGTGGGACAATTAACGAGACGTAAGTTCTCTTTAGAGAAAAAAATAACGCGACTGTGTACTTCGTACTTATAATATAAGAAATTTAAACGTAGAAATAATAAAAAAAAGCACATCGTGAAAAATATTGCGTAATGCTACAGCGCGAATTTGCATCACTACATTTCTTCGTCCGGTAACTTTAGAAGTCATCCAAGTTACATGCTTGTGATTCGTTTACAACTTTGCTGCAGACGTTTTACCTAAGATCATTTTCCGTTCCTACTTACACGTAATACGAGAATAATCATGCTAACGAGAAAACTTCTCGTAATTTGCCTTTAAACTTAGGACGCTGCCGACGTCCTTGCAATAAATAGTTACATTCATGAAATTATCAAAATTTTAAACAGTTTGACTTTCACCGCAATGTTTTCGATTAAGATTAATTCGAAATTTCTATTTTCTTTTGAGATCAATATCTAATCGAACTCGATATAGAAACGACTAAAAAATATCGTTTTTTCTATCGTTAAATTATAGCGGTATTAGAACGAACTTATTTAAATGTGCCATTTTTATGATTGATGTCGTCAGTACAAAAATGTCCTGAAAACTGAATATACTCACCAGTCGTGTACATAGCAACACCCTTCAAGGTTACCGGCTCGAGAATGGCAGGTTCGCTCCTCCCCTTGGCATTAATCGCGTAGAGAAAAAGTCGATAACTCCTTCCTGTCGTTAGTCCCGCGACTTCGAAGGTGGGCCCGTTGGGACTCGCCGGCACGGTTTTATTTAGCAGAATCGGACCGCCGTCCTCGTCGGCCACGACCTCGAGCTGATAACTGTATATCGGAAGACCTCCGTCGTAGCCCTCCAGGCATCGGACTACCAGTCCTGTTCCCGACTTTGTGCCGAGCTCCTCCATATCCAGAGGCGCCGACATCTCCGTGGCGCTGCAATTGTGAAGAGCGTACGGACGACCCGCGGCTATAACCTGAAACAAGCAAAGCCGGAGATAAAGTGTATTTGCATTAGCCGAACAATACCGCCCTTTATTGCATTACGAACGAAACGAAGTCTAATCCTCACTGTTCGGGAAAGAGCTCAAAGAGAGAGAAGGGGGGAGGGAGGGGGGGAGGAGGGAGAGAGAAAGAGAATAATGATTTCTTAATATACCGGATGCATTACTGTTTAACAGCATACGTAGTTAGCGTAGTTTAACTATTTGTAATATGCATTCTCTTTTATCGTAGTCTTCGCAAAAGACGAAGGAGCAATTTATCGTTCTTGCAGTGGCAGTGAACTACACACACAAACACACACACACACACACACACACACACACACACACACACACACACACACACGTTCAAAGACTTTCATATGTACGTCAAATACGAATGCAGTTCGTACCGTCAAAGAAGGCAACATCCGCATTCTTTGTAGGTATCGTCGATCGATCAAAATGAAAATATATAGGACATAGCGATGCCGGGGTATACAATGCATGAAATTTATGAAGGGAATAGCCAGCAACATGACGCACGTCGTGTAAATACCGGAATATTCGAAGCGTACTGTATGGATGGTTTAACCACTTTCAGATCGAGCATATCGATACGGCGGAGAATCGCGAGTCGAGGCAACGATCGGAAAAGAGTACAGTGTTTCAATCGAGAAACTCTTGATATCAGATCGAGATAAATTCTGATATTACGACGAACCATAAAACCATTTCTCACGAGATTTGCAGAATCATTAATAGTCTTTTTCTTTTATGTCTTGTTAAGTAATTTAACAAGAGCTACGTAGTTCTCGCGCATGAAATAATGCTGATAAAAGAAATCTTTGTGCAAAAAATCTTCATAAAATACTAGAAAATGTGATGAAAAATTGGATATCAAGAATTCAATTTCTATTATGAAAACATGGTAACAAAAAAATTAATTTGTCGCGTAGAAGAGAATTTGGACAATTGAATTTTTAGTCGGAATAGAACGCGAAGAATTAAGAGAATACTCTATGCATATGTACGTTTGAAATATTTTATATATTCAATCTATGACAGTAGCTACTGTGTAAAATAGTCACGGATCAAAACAGACGCGTGGTTTTCTTCCTGTAATAAATTTCGAAATTTGTCCGTTATGCGTCACGACATGACATATCTTGTTTCCAATTAGTTGGTGTGACACATTCCATAAATCTCACGAAAACGATATTGAGTTCAACAATAATTTCGAGTTTTCAAGCGAAAGATGTAAAATATTCAAAATATTCCGAATCAAAATTTTAATGACAAACGACGAATTTCACAGGCGACTTCCTCTTAGCGCGAAACTGTTGAAAGCGATTATCATTTATAATTTTCCAGTTTTCAACGACATACTTTTACAATGTAATTGAGTCCCAATTTAAACGTCTGTTAAAGTCTATTTAAAATTAATTCAAGAATATGGCTTTGTCAATTTACTTTTCAAAAGTTACGCGGCAAAAAACCTCCCGAATTTAATTATCAATTACACGAAAGAAAAGTGCGATTTAGCTTTGTTAAAAACGGATCGACTTGAAATTGTTCAGAGAATCCGTCATTGTAATGTAATGCGATGAAAGAAGATTGTCTTGTAAATATATTGCAATAAAAGCTCGATTCGGCGTGTATTCGATACGCGCGCGCGTTTTAAGTTTAAAAGCACGCGAAAAATTCTGAATCGCACGTCGGAAGCCGCGTACGTGTGGCTGTACGTAAAGAAGCGAAAAGACGCAGACGGAAAAGTACTTGCCTGAAAGAGGCAGGGTGTTCGTTGCTTGCCAACCTGGTTGCTCGCCCAGCATGCCACCGTACCGTAATCCATTTCCGTAGCCGGCGTGTAGTTTAGCCGGGATCCGTGAAACTGTTGGTACTCTTTCAGGCTGTCTGCGACGGATGGTGTGCCGGGCGCCGGTACGTGGGAATAACGCGAGTGCGGTACCTCGACGAGCTCGCCGGAATTATTGAATGTCCAATGGAAAGTCAATGGCATCGGATGGCTCTCCACGGAACACACTAACGACACGGTTTCCTGTTTCAATGCGCCGACCACCACCTCGCTCTTGCCTTCCTTGCACACCGGCGCATCTGTAAACAAAGTCGTCGCACTTCGCCAACGGTGGCCTTTCCACGTGAACAAACGACAGGGGTGGCGCAAAGTTTGAAGTGCACGGGTGATTTATGACTCGCGCTTGTCAAGATTAATGTATAACAAAGTGTATACAGTCCACGTTCTTCTGCCTCGAGAAATTTCATTGTCCGATGATAAGCATAAAAGGCGATTCTGATTAATTTATGTTTTCCAAGCGTCGCGCCCTCGCGCGCCGCGCGTGCAACCATAAATCAATCGACATTCTGTTCTTGTCGGTGAAATAATACTAACGGCGATTTAAATGGATATTCGACGTTCGCGTTCGCTGCACACTATGATACGCGCGCCCGATATCCCAGCGAGATCCGCGGGTGTCAAACGGAAGAAGAAGCAGCTCGACACCGTTCAGCTCGCTGCACGGGCGATCGATAGTCTAATAGGAAATTCCCTTGACATCGGTATTTGCGATAGGCCATGACATGCGGAAGTCCCACACGGCGGGAGTGATGATTTACGACCGAAGCTGGGAATCACGGATAGAGAGACTGTCTGGTTGCAATTTGATACAGTCCTTCTCTCTCTCCCTCGATCTCTCTCTCTCTCTCTATCTCTATCTCTCTCTATCTCTCTCTATCTCTATCTCTCTATGCGGTACTAAATTAATTGCTAAGATGAGAAGTTTGGGAGATGCTGTGACGTTACGGGTATATATCGGCGAATCACCCAGGCAGTCTGTTTACTAAAGGAAGATATTCTATATAGATAGAATAACGCTCACAACTCGAGGCTTGTGAATAAGAGATATAACGGGGAAATCAGGTTGATCTCTCCTTTACTTAGTGCCGACGTATTCCGTGGCGAAAATCACTTCGCGAAAATGTCGCGTGATACTTTCTCAGACATGATATATATCTCGGCGAAATTCTTTTACAAGCCACTAAAGCCGAGTCGTGTATTTTACTCAAATATCCGTCCAGCGCCATTATCTTATTTGATTTGTCTTCCATTCGTAAAAGTAATATTTTTATGAAAATACACTCTTTTGTCCTTCCATAATTCCATAATTCAAACGTTATGAAAAACACGACGAAAGACAATATTATATTTTGCACCGGTGTATATTTCAGAGGAAGACATAATTTGAATAATTTCGTGATTTCTCCAGAATAACCGGACAGATTGTTGGCTCGACATTTGTCCTGCTTGTAAAACATTCAACGACCATCTTCCATTCTTTTCTTTTCTCAATTCTAGCGAAAACGGATTAGGTGTTTCATAATAAATGTTTGGAAACCCAGAAAGTCGAATCGCGTGTGTTTATTAACTATTCAGTAGCCAACAGTCAATTCCGTTCGTCTATTAATCTTATCGATCGAGAAACTTTAGGCATATGCACCGTTAAAAATTATATTAATGCAAATAAATCTATTTATAAAATTCCGGATATAAAGAAATAAACTTTTACAATTGTAGAGATTCGTATTTGTGGCAAAATTGTTAATTTTCTATTGTGTGTTAATTTAGAGAACATGTAAATTTAAATTTGTGACTTTGTGTAATCTGGAGTTGCCAAGATTTATATATACTCCAACATATATGTATAACAATGGATGTTAACAAACTTCTAAATTTGTGAATCAAATGTGCGTTGACCAGGAAGCTCTCAGTACTTATACGATCTGCATTGCAAATAGTTAAAGTTGTTTGGGGCATAAGCCATAGATCTTATAGCACATCTCATTACCCCTCATACAAAAGTAAGTTGCAAGACTACTTTTTTAAATTGTTTTTTTAAATTCATTGTTTTATCTTTTTGGCACAACAGCTTAAGAAGATGGAGCAGTCGTTGAACGGCACGAATTATATATACGTCTTTCGTATCAAAAGAAGGAAATTATGCGTTATATTAAAGTGGATGCATGACATTTCTCTAAAATTTGGTAAAATAAAACACTATTAAATCTGTCTTCGTTAAAATACAAACAGTTTAAATATGAAATATTACTGACCAAAATACAGCATGCTAGTCTGCAGTCAAGTCACAGATTTTATAGTCGAAAATACAGAAACATCTAAGAATAGTTTAAGGCATGAATGAGATATTCAAATATTACAAGAAGGAAACAATTTGAACGAGATGAGCGTAAAGGGAGATGTTTGGCGTCGCATGACGTAATTCATCACTCGCGCATATGTGGCGTCATATCGCAATGTATTGTGACGTGATCTCGCGGACATTGTTCGCAATCCCGTGCGAATACGAGAAGATCGACGTCATCGGCTCAGCAGAATGGGAGGGGGCCAAGAGGGGTTTAAAATATCAGAACGGATTCGCGGTCTCCTTCAGTTACGTACGCCCCGCCGTACGTCTGCTCCCGCGGCCTAGCTTAGCACATTGCCAGTCTGCGTTCACCCACACATGAATATTCAGCTACGCTTTACATATACTGAATATGCATCGCAGTCCTTCCTTCCCTCTTAGGTCATTTACAAGATGCAGATACGCCAAGCTAGCACCAGGGGCACCGACTATTCTAATAGAATAACCCGCATTCCGTGTTTCACAGAAAACTATATGTCCCCCCCCCCTCACCCTCCCGCCCACCAGCCTCACTTGTCTCTCGCGACTCTTCTTTCCCCTTCATCCTCCGATCCTCTATCGTCACGTCCCCGACTTAAACGTCGCCCGTTCCTTTCTCACGCGTTCGGCAAACGCCTCGCCCGTGTGCACACTGCGGGAGTTGCTTACCATCGATTAAGTAATTATCGGGGGATTGTAGCCGCGCGAGAGGGAAATTGGGGAACCGATGCCGCGTTATGAAGGACATACGCTCTTAACGCTATTACGGCGTTGTTTACCCGGGCCAATTCTCGACGGGGGATAATTTGGCAATTAATTATATGCGAGGACTTGTTAATTCGCGACTCGTGACTTACACATTATCTGAAGGGACACCGAATTGCTCTCGGTCTTTCCCTCGCTGTTCACCGCGAGGCAGGTGTAGTCGCCGGCGGAGTAACGAGTCAATCCTCTGAGAACCAACGACTGATCGCTAAGAATTACACCCGCTGTGGAATTGTTCTTCAATTCTTTCTTCTGAAAAAGGAAAGGAAAAGAAACATGTACAAATTGGCGTTGCATTGCAACACGTACGTAATAAGAGTCCCTTCTCCTTAATTGCATTTATAATGTAATTTGTATACTCGTGTATTAATCGCGAAGCAGAAGGAAAATGTACGGCAAAGAATGTGTATACACAATAGTATACACGCGAGTTATCTAATGGAGAAATAATTAAATTTGCATAAACTGGCAAGAGAGAGAATAAATATGCGCGGGTGTGTTGTGTAACGAAACGCGAATATGCCGTGAAATGTTTCTCTGAATATATCGTGATAGACACGCGAATGCTCGCGATACTTACATTCTTGAACCAGGCGAGCTTGTACACCTTCGGATTCGCTCGAACCTTACACTCGAAGTACACATCGTCGCCCTCTTTGATATCGTCCGGATTCAGTGTTTCGCCCATTCTCAAGTTGACCACCGGCTGATATTGTACGTCGAGCCGCCACTTGTCCTCCAACGCACTGTCGGATATGACAGGATTTTCCGCGCGGCATGTCAAATATTTACCGTCGTCCTCTATGGTTGGCATGAAGCTGAGGATACTCAAAGTCTGATTGTTCTCGAGCGCATACTGTAATTAAAACACACGCGTTTCTAAACATTCACTGAAATTTTGAGATTTCTTGCGACATTAAAAAGCATACTTAATCGACTACACCCATCGACGCAACGTTTAGCATACTCTGCCATCCTCGTGCGCGCAATCGGAATTTCTCTAGATTTCCTACGTCGAAAGCGCCGTTCCATTTTTCACACACGGCGTCACGCTGTTTGCTGCTAATATTAATTTAACATCGTTGGAAGCTGTTAGGCCGAAGTGATGCCGAAATAAAAGAGCGCGCCGGGGGGATTAACGGTTTTTTTCAAGATTTATGATGCTTAGAGCAACGACGGGAAATGGAGGTCGAAGCGGGTGCGGGTCACATCGCTGACGCTTCCTCTCTCCATCACGGATCCGCGTCCCGCCCGCTTTCACGATGTCATTTTAATGATAGCGCTATCGGCCATATATATCGGAAAAGCCGCGTATCCGCATCAGTATCGCGAATACGATGAATGGAAGTAATGGTTCGTCAGGATGAATGTGGCGTCGCTGTCTCTCGCTCTCTTATACACTCCTACCCATCATTGGTGCGCCCCGCTACCTCTCTTTCTCCCGCCATCTCTATCTCCCTCGTATTTTTTTGCAAGCTTCGCTGCGTTGCACTTTCAGTGCAGCCCCGGTGCGACGCGATCGAATTTTCCGATAAAACTCTCTGGACAGTCCGACACACGGACGTCGATATATCGCGCAGGTAGATCGTACGCGGAGTGACGTTACGGTCACACCGCTCGCATACGTCCATCGAGCATTACCGGTGTGGTATTTTGGAAGCTGCGCTTTCTAAGGGGGACGTTGCAAATGCGATGGAAAAATACATTTTACTTAATTGATTCCGCGCGTTTACACACGGGGAAAATAAAATTGCGCGCGTAAATTTCATAGTACATTAATTACTTTCCCACGCTATTGCAAACATTACGAATCCGCGATTATTCCGGAATACAGACGCAACCAGCGAAAAGATCGATTCGCAGAAGATAGATACGGTCAATTTTTCAGTGTCACAAGTTTGTGGGGTTCAAAGCAAAAAAACGCATTTTTCATTCAAGTTCCTATTGCATCATCCGGGAGCGATGTTTTCCTGCAGAATTTATTCAGCGTTTTCAATCTGGAACGTATTGAAAACTTGGCGATGAACAAACGTATTTACCCAAGCAATAGCTTAAAAAAATTCGTAATATATACAATGTTTTGCGAAATATCCCGATGTCATCATGCATGCAATAATAACTGTCGCAAACGCTTCAACGAAACATTTTCGCTCGCGGATGATCATGAAATAATGGCGCAGTAAAAATACATAGAATAATCATAAAATGGTAATGTCGGTCTGTCACAGCAAAATCCGGAACGTTGAATACTTTTATAAGCGAAGCTAAACTGTGATGTACTTTTACATATGTGAAATTAATAATTTATGCGGCGCAATGGAAATGGCTAAAATTTTTGATTATTTTTATATTTCAGAATATATTTCAGCTCATATTTTAAATAAAATAAACTCCTTAACTGGTCTGACATTAGTTATTGAAAATATCGTATAACTTATCAGTGTGCTAATTCTATTTTTCCGCTAAAATTAGCATTACCGTTATCTATTTATTATTATATTGTACGATATGAATGGTTAAATTCATAATTTATCGTTCCGCTATTGTTATATCGACTACAGCAATAATATCGAGCAGTTTGCATGTTGCTACAATGTTTAAGCATAATTATCGTGAATATCATAACATCGCGAAAATGCGCGCTGCGGATGCCACACCATTCACTAATCACAAAGATACCGATGAATGTTTCATATTCAACATTTCAATTGTGAAAGTTTGATTACTGAGCCGCAATGTTGCACATTAATTCAAAAGAGATAACAACAACGATACGTTTAAATATAAATCTATGGTATAAACGATGCATGATACATTGTGCTGTATAGATTGCGGAAAAGTAAACTCAAAGTACATGGAGTACACGGCGACTTCGTGAAGTAACTAGTGATGGAAGTTGCCTCCTGAAGTCAGGCGGACAGTTACATCTGGGGAGATGTTTTAAAAATTTAATGCGCTCGAACATTACTGAAACATTTCGCGCCACAGGCGATGGACGGGGGGGCATCTACGTCGAAAATAGGAAAAGAAAGTTAAACCTTGAAAGTTTATCAAGCGAGGATCCGCTGGATCGTCCGCTAACTTCTGCACTTCCTCTGTCACCCCGCGCGCGGAGGGAAGGTGTCGAGGATCGCGACGAGGGATGAACGCAACGAAAACGGGAGGGCGCGCGAGAGAAGTCGCCCGCAAGAAAAACGAAATAACTGCATCGTCCTAACTTCTGGACGAATCGTCGTAAACTGCGGAAACTTGCGGGACGTCGATTTCAAGAATTTTCCTCCGAATTGTGTGAGCGCGCACTTCAGCGGTGCTTCCCGCTAACCGTTTTCAGCACACGAATGTTCACATCCGACTGTGATGAGGCGTTCTGATAAAAAAACATTCGCCGAGACTTTTTCAAACTGGGATGTGCCGGAGGACGGATCTGCTGCAATTTTTGCCGGCTTTCTCGCCGAAAATCGAATAAAACGTAAAATTTGCCTGCAAAAATATCCGTTCTCTAATCTTCGATACTCGTGTCGGTTTGTTTTACGTATCCTCGTAATGTTACATCAGCAAAATACATCTTCGCAACGATACACGTAATGAAAAAAGTAATTTCGCAATACAATGAAATAATTTCGCTGAAATAGGAATCGAGTTTTCGTTTGAGCAGTTTCGTTCTGAAAAGTGAAATGGGGGGGATTCGTACCGAGTGTCCCTTACTTGAATTCACTCATCTTTCAATTTTACTTGTGACACTTTATAACAAGAGCGTTATAAATTTGCTTTCCTCGACAGAAAGTTACAGCTTGAGTGTCACGTTTAACAGTAACAATAGTTTTCTCCTTTGGAATGGCCTTTATTTCTTTTTTACTGTGCAATTCAATTTTGTTGTGCAGAGCACGTGCGATGTGTAGTAAACTTACGTTTTGAGCCTTCTTCTTGATTTGCTTGTTTGCTTTCCACCACGTGATCATCGCATCTGGCCGTGAACCGCTCGTACGACATTCCACGTCGTAATTTTTGTCGGCCGAAACTCGCGTTTCCTTCGTCAAGATTTGCACCGTCACTGGCTTCACTGCAACGGCAAAATGTAATCGTTCTTTTTATCATTGTCGTGAACTATAGAGCATACTGTTATTTAGGTTTCTGTATTTAAAAAAGAAAAAAACGAGATATTTACCTTAACAAGCGGAAAAATATATTTTTCAATAAGAAAATAAAAAATAATTTGCATGCAACGAAGCGGTGCGTACTTATTATCCAAAGTAGCATTCTGTTTTTATTTAAAAAGAAAGCTTGCGCGGTTCTGTATATATATTTATAATATGAGTAAATGTATTTGTAGTTTCCTGTTTTCTTTCTTTGTAATACCATTTAAAAAAGATACACGTTGCAAAGATAAATAAAGTTATATCGTTAAGCATCGTGCGCATGCAACTAAGTTTCTGCGATGGCGGACCTTAATTTAATCAACTTTATACGGATCGCTATTGTTTCGAAGTTGTCCCCTAGCGTCGCGAAAACGGTGTTCCGTCACTACATACAAAGAGAAAAATCCGGAAATAAGATTAAACGGTCGGAGTAACGCCGAAGCCGGACTATTTACGAAACAAATTCACAAAATCATTCCGAAATTTCTTCGTATGGCAAACCGAACGATTACGCTTCGCAAACAACAAAAGAAATTAAATAGAGACGTGGTTCGCCGCAATACCGCTCTATAGTCGCAATTAAAGTTCTGTTCTTTGTGCGACACGGCAATAAATTTCAATTGCTTAATTCCCAAAATTGCAAAAGAATCGTAGCGTTTACTGGAATTTACGATTGTTCGATAAAATTAAGAAAAAGTAAGCATATCATTTGAGATAGCGAGTTATTCTTGTCGCTTATTCTCTCGCTCTCCACCTTACTGAAATGTTTCCGCATACTTATAGAACATTAATTACTTATTCTTGCTGTTTAAAACTCAATTGCAACTCGCACATAATTACTTCTTCATAATTGATTCCTAAATTACGAACTCATTCGTGTCTACTAGTCGTTACGGCTATTTTAACATCTACTTTCACAGAAATATTTGCGGTATTCAGAATAATACATGGATAATCTCGGTACTAAAACGATGCGGAATGGTATGTTTTCTGGCTGCATTAAATTCTCAACGCAAAATGCAACTGCGTTCTCGTAGGCGGCCAATATCCGTTTCCGATACCAATTTTATCTTTACAGATCTATATTTCATGTAGTTGTGATTTAGAAATTTAACGTTTCCATATAGGCATTTACTAAATGCCGTGATTACGGATCTAGAAAAAGAACAGATTAATTTAAGAAGAAAATTGATCAAACATTTTGAACGAAATTATTTTCAAGGTTCTCTGCATCATTGACTGATCTGAAACTCAAGTATCACTTAAGATGTAGATTATTACCTTCCATGCAAACCCATCCTTGACCCTAATACTATAAATACAACGAGTGACGACTATTCCATATAACTATAGTATGTTTATTAATAAGAAAACGGAATTTTTTCCAACGGAATTTTTTTAAGATTGTTTTAAGATTATATCTTTTTTCGTCCAAGCACGATTCGTACATCTTAATTCATACTCGCGTCTTGTCGCGTCGTATTTCCGCTCGAAGCGAATATTTGACACCCGCATTGATCGAAAGCGACAGTCTAGACCATTTGTAATATCACGTTGGTGTCGCGCGGCCGTCCTCGTAAATTCTAGTGCACGCTTATGCACCGCCATGGCCAGCCACTCATACAACCCCTAATTGCCATTAGTTGGTAGCCACTCCTCTGAAATTGGTTCCTCCGTCTCGCTCTGTGCTCTCTTCCTGACACATACACACACGCACACGCTTAGGAACGGGTTGGATGGCCCTCGCGGGGCTCTGGCCATATATTTGCACTTGTAGAAACTTTCATCCATTTGGATAATCAACTTTCGCGACCACTCATTCGACGATCAAGGATCTATTTTGTCGGCTTAATGCCGTAAACGATAATGTGAGCCTCACTGTTGAAAGCCACTTTGTTCCGTGATGAAAGATCGGTATTATCCGTTTCAAATAGACATCCCTTTTATTAGCGACGTTTCGAGAGATTTGGTTTTAATTAAAACATGTCGAGAGCGATTACATTCGAGGGTAGCTTAGTTTTGCGCGAGACAGGTCTGAAATACGTATGAAGGTCCCGCGGGTGATAGCGGCGGCGCAAGTTGTATCGACGGCAGCGTCATTCGATGCGCCAGGCATCGCGTGTACGTCGATCGTGATCGCGCCTTACAGGTTTTCCGAGGAACGAGCAGAAAGGATTGTATCTATTTTCGACGTTCAATTAGAGCAGAAGCACGCAAAGCCGGTGCGCTATCGCTCGTAGGAGTAGCGACGGCTGATTCCTCGCTACGATATCCGTGGAATCAAGTCTTCGACATTGCGGCTCTATCGCCATTCGTAATTCAGCGATCGCCGACAGCTTTGACAAATTGTTTCACTCTATCAGGCACGTTAGATATCGCGCTCGCATGCTTGGCTTCAGTGTGTTCCTGAGATAGCTTGTTAACGTAACTCGTGTTTTTTTGCTCGAAAATTCGAAATGGAAAAGATACGTTCGATAGAATTCGAGCAAAGCATGCGAATGCGATATTTAACGGTCTGATAGAGTGAAACGATTTGTCGAAGCTATTATAATAAAAAAAAAATCTTAAATTATATTTTTTTTTAAATAACTAAAAATACTTTTTATGTTAAGCGATGGAATTACTGATTAAAACTGAGCATTTATAACCAATGTAATTTAAAATATGCTCTGTCATTTGTAATATCGTTCTTTCTTCGCATTCACGTGGAATCTCACATTTTATCATTTCACCGTAATATGTATCCATCAGGTTTTACTCGCGGTATTATCGCGTTCGCGCTGTGTATAACGGCGCGGTGCCATTTGCGTACGCTGGCGAACAACCGTCCGTGAATTAACACTCGCTGCAGGTCGAGCCTTAATGGTTTCACGCATGTTTACCGTAGCGTTATCGTTTGTTCGAATGATCCCGAGTCGGCGCCCCCGGTCGGCGCACTTATCAAACCCGGCGCTCTTCGCACCTTCCCATTTATTTCCAGGCGGCTGAATCGCACCACCTGCCCCGTCAAAAACCGCGGCGCGGCACTCGGCGCGCCGGTCGAAATCAATGCCCCGACGAAGCCGCCGACGAAAGGCACATGGCTGCCGGCAAAGAGAAATCCCTGCGGCCTTATCGCCGTCGAGGAACGAAGTCGAGATAGCTCCCTGATGAATGACGATGATGTTGCGCGCGCTATGGAAACGCGCCGCCCCGCTCTCCGCGGGACGGGAGATTATTAATTATTATCAAGTGAACAGTCCCGGCGCACATGACCGCGCACGAATAAATGTCGCTCGCGCGGACGAAGGTGTGCGTGAGTGCGTGCCAATGCGCGCACGACCGGATGCAAATTAGCGCAATAGCAATTGGCAAGTCTAGCGAGCTAGCTACCACATTGATGCCGGCTTTAATTCCTAACAGCCGGCACGCGGCGCGAATCGTCGAACGCCACGCAGAAACGCTCGTTTGCTTGTTCATTTCAACTTTGCAAAAAATTTATGAACAAAGCGCATTTGCATGCTGCGATATGTGCAGACATACCGGACCGCTCCAAGAGCTTCCGTCACGCCAGCCGCGTCACGCATTTCGTGTGCCCGCTTACACTTATTTTTCACACGCCGATCGCATCGTGCTACAACAGCGCGATATTGCGAAATATCGTGAAATTATGAGAGCGTGTCCTCGGTTTTTAATTTATAATATTACATAAAACTACGAAGAGCGAAAGTGACGCGGTGTAGGATAATTCGAAGGCATTTGATTTCTTACCAAAATTTCCACGTGATTTATGCAGCGGTAATTAAGAATAAATTGATACGCATTTGTGCACGCGGGAGCGCGCGTGGACACGCATGCTTATTATTATTTGTTTGAATTCGGCGCACATCGCGATGTATGAATTAATAGGCATCACCCGCGGGAGTGTACGAAATTATTCGCATGCGAGAGTACGCCCGTGTCTACTGTACTATTCGGTTATATATGGCTGGTAGGATCAGTTGTTTGCGAACTACCGTTCTGCATAACTATCGAGGGCTTTGCTGCTATTCCTTGGAATAAAAGTAGTCAGAAGCGTTCAGCGATTTGAAAGCAGAAGGAATAATAGCAAACTATGCATTTTTTTACGTGCAAATTATATAACGATGTTGATTTCTTGAAATGTAATAAAATTGTTTTGATCGTCAAAATAGATATTTCTAACATTGCATTTTTTAAAACATTATTCTATTTATTTGAGATGCAAAGGCTTATAATTTATTCACGGCCGAAAACATTTCATAGCTAATCAAAGATTAATTTTTAATTGTTTCTATTTGATATAATATAGTTTTTTATCACTATTAGCCGTGCTATTAAACAGTGTTGGCGTAGATTGCACATTTATAATTCGCGCAGGCAATCCTTTACGTAGAACATCCTTTGACGCATAAAGGATGGCGCATGCATGCATGCTACGTCAGAGCGGTGCGCCGTGCGTGTAACGCGCGATCGGTGAGATCAATCGGCCACGAATTAGCGCCTCTTGCCGCGCCGAGTATACTAATGCTTTTACGCGTGTTTACATTAACGTTATCGCCGCCGGTTCGAATAGTTTCTTCCCACCCTCGTCGGCTTTCCATTTCCCGCTCGTCTGGCGCGACGTTACTGGGTCATTACGAGTCGAACCCTCTCCAGCCGCCACTTACACGATATCTCAGCAGGCAGTGCGCCTTCTTACCAACGACGTGCCGCGCTCACTAACGCGCACTCATTCACCCATACGCGCAATTAACGCGCTCATAGACGCACACGCGTGCAAAAGTGGCGGAGGGAGGAGGTGCGGGGTTCTCGTCACATCTATCGACCGACACCGACAACGGCGCTCGAACACAGACGCAGTGTCGCACGCCAAGCGCTCACGGGGAAACACGAAATCGAAGCTGCGAGCCGGGAGGCACGCGATTCACTGATCCGTCTTGCGAGAGGCGTTACCGTTATCTTCATCGGCCAATCTCGGCCGGACGACTAATAGGTTCAGCACGTGAATACCTCGGCCCGGCTGTAGGACCACGTGAAAAGGCCTTCGGTGCATGTCCTACTGTGACCATTGCACCGATTCGCCAACGGCCCCGGCGACGCCTAAAGTTGGCAGTCGCGAAATAAGGAGAGGAACGATCCACATCGATCACCGCTACGGAATTGTTCTTGAGAATTCGTTCTCTTACATAACACCGAATTCTATCGATAGAGACGCTGTTTGATACGTTTGATACTATATGCTTGTAAAAGCTGTAAGCCAGCGGATAAGAGATTTCTAACGCGGTAAGCGAGGCTTGTCGGAATGAATTATAATCCACATGCTTGCACTTGTGACTAGCGTATTAACGCGTTAAGGATCAGCGACTTCATTATGGGAGTAGCGACACTTAACCGCTTCATAAATAGAAATAAACATTTATTCCGGAAGATATCATTCTTAGATAGGAAAATACGTGGAACTCTTGCTTAATCGTCCGTTTTTTTCTCTCTCTTTTGTGAAATGCGTCAGCTTGTCGGTAGTTCCACATTTACCTCAATGTTGTAAATGGAGAACTCTCGTACCTCGTTATGCACGCGATAATTGCGTACTTACATTAATGGTTACACGGAACTACGTATATGTGGCACTTTACATCCACCAGGAACGTTTAACGACTGAGCTATAGCGAAATATGAGAAAATGTAAACAATAATTTGTCTAACAGACAATAAATAATTTGCCCGACGCGAACAACAAATACGGATAATAAATTTCAAATTGCGTAAAATGGAAGTGCAATAAATATACAGAATACATTCACAATCGTCGAAAGTGAAATAAAATGTGAAAATGATTATAACAATTATTGGCGTACAAAACGTGTTTTTATACTTTAACTCTGTCTCATTAGGAAATATCGCGGAATTAACTCGTAAGGTGCTTAGAAACGACGCCAACAAATTTCAACTATGCTTTTTATAGCTTTGAGATAATTTTTTCCTCGGAGCAAATTGGGCTGGCTACGACAACTGCTTGATAGATTGCGATTCGCGTAAAAACATAATAGAAAAACTGCATTGCACGAGCGTGCAACATCGCGAAGATTGACAAACTGGGCCGCATAAGTAGAACATTTCACCATTCAGTACGGGTGTGCATTAAGGTAATCGGAGGTTCGTTTTAAGCATCACACCGAGCGCGCGAGAGGCCTTGGCTTTTTGCCCGAAGCGATCGACATGCTGACTCGGCACTAATTCGCGCTTACGACCTATTACACGATTGAGACCCTTCCGCTTTCTTGTTTATACATGAATATAAAATATTATCTCAAATGTGCCATTTATGTAAGCGCAATTATATCATCGCCTTCGGAATGCTAAGCGAAAATACACCGAGATCCATTTTCTACGCGACGCATTTCAGTCCGTTCGGTTAACACGTGCCATTATGGAAAGCAAATGTCGCGTCGTCATAACATTGCAAATTAGAATTATGTTGTTATGTCAACACGCGCAAATGTGATATTTAACGCCGCGCGAAATTGGGTCGTGCGAGAAACGAAAGGTAGAAACTAGCGGGGTGCAATCGTCGAAACTGCGCTGCAGCGAAAAGTAAAGCACGGCATACAAGTGAAAATTGTCGACGACTTACGATTCACGTTGAGGATGAGCAGTTTGGTTTGCGGTGGTATCAGGTTCGTGTTGCTGGCCTGACAGATCAGTCGCGCCTTGAGCTGCTGTCGCCCAATTTTCGCATACACCAGGTGGTTAACCGTTAACCCGTTCTCGGCGTTGTAGTGATAGGACTCGTCTATTACGGTGTTGTCGAGATACCACGTCAACTTCGGGAGCGGCTTGCCACCACGAACCTCGCAAATCAGATTCACGTCGCTCCCCTCGTTGTACGGCTCTTCGATGCCCCAAACATTCCTCGATGCCCCGTCCCGTATTATCGGCTTCGACGGAGGCACTGTGCGAACATCATGCGTCGTTAGAATCCAGCGCGGATATGTTAATCGATCGTTTGTCAAGCGGGCGACAGTCAGCGCGCGGGATGCGTAATGCGGTCGATGCGGCGAGATTCGACGGCAACTTTGCCGTTGTAGTTGAATTAACTGTTGTAATGGCCCCGAAACAGGTCGTAGTTATGAAGTATGGTGTATTAGCGCCGCAGCTTAGTTTGCGAAGTAAACCACTGCTGGGATTAATTTACATGCAGGAAAGTGTCGACTTCACAAGCCAACGCCCTCACCGCATCGAAAGCAAACGTATTCGAATCAAACGCGAAATACTCCACACATCGCGTGACAAATCGAACGACTGTATTTAGCGCTGAATTACACGTTCGTGAAAGCGGTTTCCGGATCGAAGGTGCTTCTTGCTCGACACTCGCCCACGATTAACCGCCACCCGCGGCCGTTCAAAAGAACCGGCTTTAATTGTTGCGCGATCGCCGGCTGATTGGGTTCGGGCAAGATACAATGCGCTCACCTATAATGGTCAAGTTCATCTTCTGCTTCCGCGTCGGCGAGTTCTTGAAGTCCACTCGGCACCGATAGATCCCTTCGTCCGTGCTCTGCAGCCGGTCGATGCTGAGGTAAGCCGGATTCGTCATCGTGGCGAAAAAAGCTCTTGGTCCCAGTGCGTTGGGCGACGACCAGCGTTGGCCGTCGGTGAATTGCCGTCTGCCGCGGACGTCAAAGCTATACAAAACAATCGATTTAGCAGTCCGCCCTCAGTGTACGGCTGTAATGATCGCGTTGTTCTGCGATTGTTGCGAGATATCAGTATTGTAAGCGCGTAATTAATATGTGTTATACATCATTAATCATCGGTGCTTGTTATCATATAATATAGAATTTTAGCGTTTTCCGTTAATAGGCAATATGGAACATCAGAACGATTTCCGGTAAAACGCATGTAATAAGAGTCAATTTATCGCGGGTAATTATTGCTCGTTATTCGTGTACCAAAAACTGTGCCAATTTAATTACATAATTTGCAATGTAATTGCAGTATGTCAATTGAAATAGCGCAGTGACGTTGTTATTAAAAGTTTGATATCATTCAATTAATTAAAGTTCATAGAAACGATAAATGTATATTTCTGGATACTTGTGATCAAAGGAAAATCATCGTTTCAAGATTTCTAGGCGGTTATAAAATGTCTATCGTGATGAAATTAGAATCAATTAATCAATTTGCAATTCAGCATGACTTAAATTTAACTTTTGATAAGATCATGCATTATTAAATTAAACGTTTGTGTAATATGCGAAATTGAAATTATTACATTTCCTTTCCTCATTTAATTAAAAAAGCAGAAGTTCAAATGTGAAATCGGACGGTGGAATCAAAAGGTTAAATTTGGAACATGAATCTCGTCGTTCGTTCCTCATCCCGTGGTTCAAGCGGATGTGTCGTTACCGTTGCGGAGCAGCGTTTGCTGAAGAATCGCTCGCGGAATCACGATCCGAGAATCCGGCAGTCTATGCGGAATCGCCTGGGAGCCATTCCCAGTGCGTGATTGCATATTAAGCATCCGCGGTGAGCGAGGACGAGAACAAAGGGAGACAGATTAGAGGGACGACTGGGGGATATATAAGAGGGCCCCCGCGCGAGGGACGGAAAGAAGAGATGTAACTCGCGCGGAGAAACAGAGAGAGAGAGACAGAGAGCGCCGGGCGAGCCCTCCACGGTTCCTCTCGCGGACGACTAAAAGTTAAATTGCGTTCCGCGACTGCACGGGAGTTCGGATTTTCGCTCGTGACTGAGTATTCCCAAAGCTATCCCGCCTTCACTCGCTTGCTTCCGCGGCATTGACGTTGAAATACGATTTAATTCTTCCACTTCGCACTTGCAGCGAACGAGGTGGGCGCTTCCGTGACGCGCCACCGACGCTGCCCACCCCGCCATCCTAGATAGAGCAGAGAGCGAGAGGGCAGTCCTCGAAGCGGTCGAGTACACGGAGAGAGAGACCCGTTTCGCCACGGCAGCGAGAACGACACGCGGATATAACACGTTCGACCGACTTACCCCGCGAGCGATAACCCTGAAAAGCGATTTTCCCATATCGGTCTTCCGACTTCGGCCCCCGTCGTTCATCGACGGCAGCGGAGCGACTCTCAAGATCGATCGGTCGCCTGCCTACTCACCCGGCTCGTCGATCACGACTTCGAGAGGCTGATTCGGTCGGGACTTTCCGGAAAGGCATCGCCTACGGGCGTTTCTTCGTTATCTCGGGAGATTGCAGCGTAGATGAACTCGTACTCGCTCTCTGTAGCGCGCGAAAACGATTTGCGCGCAAAATATCGCACCAAGTGGCACCGAACTAAAATGTCGAGTCGAATATAATAGATGCGTATCGCGTTTCGGTTCAACAAAGCGTTTGTGGAACAACTGGTGTTCGAGACGGACGTGTATTTTTGAAGAACACGGTACAATACAAACGTTAACAAAATTAATTTTTGATAAAAATAATAATAAACTTTCGACGGTTTATTGTCTCGAGCAACACTTGGGATCTCTGCGAGAAAATGCGTTTTTCACCGTCTTCTGTTTAGCTACTACTTTCTTCTACGAGCGAGCGCTGGCTAAGAAACCGATCACTTTAAAGTCTCACGCGAGGAAAGGAATTTACCAGGTCGCTTCGTCGAGTCTAAGTGTCTTGAAACTTTGCTGGGAGAGAAAGAGCGCAGAACGGAATTGAGTAGATTCGATTTTGCGAAGTGTTATCTATTAAGGTAAAATGCGAAGACCGCCCGAGAGATTGTAAATATTACAGAGCATTTTGTTCGAGGACGCTGAGTGCCCGATATTATTAGAGCAATATTAAAATTCATAGATCTAATTCGATCACGATCAAATATCCATATCATGAAGAATTCAGTCAATCGCTAGACTTATTTTAACGAAATGAAAATGTAATTCTAGAACATTATAGACGATATAAAATTTTCAATCGTTTTTGATTTCGTGAAAATTTGTGTCAAATTAACAAAATAAAAAATTAATATACACAGCGTAGTTAAAAAGAAATTAATTAAGCAGAAAGAGAGTAGGAGCAATTCGTTTTCGAATGAATGATAGCCCGAGAATCTTGGCAAGATGACGTGTACATCACATGAATTACTCCTATCGCATGTAAGATATTGAATACACGTGCAAGGAGAGAGGACCTAGAAAAGGGCTATATGCGCGCGATCATACGACCGTGCAGTCTCGCAGTTTCTCCTTTCCTTAACTGTCTGGCGTACGTACGATAAGCGGGCGCGATGTCACGCAATAAATATTTTACTGCGAGAGGTCCCGCGAAGGGAAGAAGGGGCCGACACTGGAGGGAACGGCTGGCGGGGGGCCAAGAAGGGGGAGAAGAAACGCTTTAGTACGACGGCCGCCTTTAAATTTAAAGTTCCTCGTCGCGGCGAGGATTAAACTGACTTTACAACAAGCGACGATCCGCGTTCTCTCCCCCGCGCCAACCGGCTCCGCAGCCGCCCTCACTCCAGCACGATGCATCGCGCCGTCCCTTTGGCTCAGCTCCCTTCCCCTCCGCACATATCTTACACCTTATTACATTTCTTAAATATGACCCGCCGGATGGCCTTTCCGACCGCCTCCTTTTCTCTCCCCTCTCTCGCGCCCCTGCGACTCGGCGGCGGCGGCGGCGCGCCGGCCGCCATTCTATATGCAAAATTTCACGGGCCGCGGAAGCGAAACGGCGACCCGAGCGGCGAATGAACTTCACCGTGGAAAATAACGCGAGGAATTTCCGAGCTTGAGCCGTCTGACTCATTCCTTTTTGATTTCTCCGCGAAGGCGCGCTCGGATGCATATGGATGACTTTTGCGTTCGGAAAGGAGTTTTCTCGGTGCGCTTGTAAGGTAGAAGGAAAATATTTACGCACTCTCGTAAAGGAAATTTATATTTTACCGTACAAACAGACACGAGTTGGGAGAATTCGAATTTGTGGCGTTTTTGAAAAATCGACAGTTTTTCAATCGGAACTATCCGCAGTCTTACCTGTAAAATGGCTCACCCCTGCCTTCCTTGTACCAAAACACCATTCTGACTTCGTCGTTTTCAGCAGGACGAATGTCACAAGGGAGCTGCACCTTTTCCCCGACTACACCGTCAATGGCAACGATTGGTACTGCAACAGAGAGTAAATTACAACTTTCTCTCAATGTGTGCTTCAAATATATTTAGTATTTTAATTCGATCGATTCTAAATCGTCGCATAAATTGGAAACATTAAATTCCACAGTAAAATCACGAACGCGCAATTTTAGAAGAAACCACGCTCAACATGTCGTAAATTTTAAGATTGCCCCTCGCTTCTGGAAAGTAGAATATCAAACCGCTTAAACCGCAAGCGAATGCTATTAGCTACAATCAATCACTTCGAGCTTTTAACAAGCTACCTACACGAGACATATTGCAACGGTAGGTAAAACGTTGATATAATGCGGTTTTCGCTGACAAGAAAACGCCAGGATTAGGTCTCATTACACGAGAATTTAGCGACGATGTTACACGCCGATAGTTAAAGGCGAGCTCTTCTACCGCGAGCTCGAGATTCTATGTGATGAGGTAGACAGTGGTTAACGGTTTGATGTCGCTGCGGTTTTGTCTGCCCGATTAGATTTACATCCGCAGACGGGGTTATCGCGTTTTAATGAGCTGCCTCTCTCTCTCCTTTGACATGTTGCCGGCGCTATCTTTCCGCGACGGCGCGTTTCCCGACGTCTCATCGGACTTGTCGATCGCTTCGGGGAGTAGCGTGGTGCTTTTAAGAGCGATCGCTCCCAGGGATCCCATCGATCACCGCGCCGGTATTTCGTCGCCCGACATCCGATCGCAACATGGTCGGTCAATCTCAAAGTCCACGGATTTCCGTCCCGGGCTATAAAACGCCGATACTTTCACGGGGAACGGCGGAAGCGGAGCGAAAATGGTCGGGAAAACGGATCGCGTTCGCCGGTGACATGCTCAAAGGTGTGCGCAGTCAGTGTCTTTCGAAATCCGCGGAGATATTGCGTGAACGTGTGAAATGTTTGCCGAAGGGCGCTGAGCGGTCGCGCTCAGCGCTCTGAATCCGAAATTAGAATGCCAGCTGACTTTCGATGGAGCGATATCTGGCTCGATATGAGAGAGACGCGATAAGCAAACATACGCTGAGCCGTAGCTGCTCCCTCTGCACTTTCAGTAACGCTGACACTTGACGGTATCAAAGCACTTTTGATCCTGTATATTATCATTTGGGCAACGAGCTCTTAAACTTTTGCTACAATTCTTCGAAACGTTATTCAAATATAAACGCTTGCATAAGTATTTTTTTTTAAATTCTCTAGTTTTTATAAAAATATATTATCGTTTTTATATTCCAATTTTATAAGAAATGTAATAATGTAAATTTGTTTAAATTTAAATAGCGTTAAGTAACGTACAGATTAAAAGTCATTAAATAATTTATCCGTTCATTCAGCTTGATTATCCGGTTAACACAACGATGATTATAAATCGTACACAGTTTTGTCCAATCAAGATGCCTTTGTTATACGGCCATATCCTATAGTGAAGCGGGGCACATTCTTCCGATCTCATTTAATCCCAAGAGAGAAGTTTCGAAGCGAACCGGAAGGAAACTCGGAGAAGCTCCGCGGAAACTCCGCGAAGCGTCCGCAAGCGTGACAAGCGCCGCGCGCGAAACAATTTCATTTATCACAAGAAAAATAGCGGTTTAACTCCGCGAGTGGGCGTATCATACATTTTCCGCGAGTTCGAGGGGATGAGAGGGGCATCGAGCGGGGGCGAACGAGGCGGTGGAAAATGGAAGACACCGGAGGCGAGTCGTTCCTTCTTTGTCGTCGTAGCCAACGACGGGCGAGCGCACGAACACGAGTGTATTAGCGTGGATGGCGTCCGCAACGCTGAAGCCGTCACAGTCCCAGTTGTACAGTTTATTGCGCTCTCCGCGCTGCCAGCACTTAGAGAAAATACGGTCGGGGAGGGGGGAGGGGGGGAGGGACGACCGGGCGACGATACTGTGCACTTTAAACCGGGCGGTATTAAACAGCGCGGTTCCGAACAACTCACGTGTACACGTTGTTGTCGCGAAAAATTTGCATCGCCGATGAGGTTGCCAGCGATGCGCGGCGTCACGAGCACCGGGCGGGAAAATTATTACCGGCTAATTGGTGAACCCGGCGGAAATTGCCCGCAGCGCGCGGATAACCGGTACCGCCGTCGTATTAAAGTTCGCAGCGCTTGTCACTCGCGCATCGAGTGATACATATGATTGGACTCGTAAAGATAATTCCGAATGTTTTCCCCGGCATCGGCCGCGAGCGAACGCACCCGGCTCGTTGTGTTTGCGTAATGTCTCTTTCCCCAGCGAACAAATCTATCAACGTTGCGGTCTCTCCCTAATTTGTAATTCTCGTAATTCTTATTTTGACATATAATAACAATGCCAGTCGTAACGTATGCCGCTGGCGTTTCTTATTCCGTTGTTCTCACGGACACTCGACATGACACGACGGGGATACGTGAACGTGATGAGTTCCAAACGCCCACGTCGTTCCCGGTAAAGATTCGACGTAGGGAGTCGTTGCTGGGTTCATAAATAATCTCTCTACGTGGAAAACGAATCCATCAACGGTCATTCGTTTTAACTCAACGATTTGAGGCAACATCAAACGTACGCAAGCGCGCACTCTGGTCTTTCTCTCCCTTTACCGGGGCGGGGAAACCATAAATAAGTAATCTTCTGGTTTCCACGAATGCGCGGGAGGGCCCTGAATCTCGAAGATGATCGCCTTGGGTGAAACGCGCGCATGATGCCACGTTTATTTTCCTTTTTATTGACGACGTAAATTTAACGGATTTTATTTTTTCCCTTTGCTCTCTCTCTCTCTCTCTCTCTCTCTCTCTCTCTCTCTCTCTCTCTCTCTCTCTCTCTTTCTCTTTTTCTCCTTCACGGTTCCGCTCACCATCGGGAAATGAAATACAGCGTTATTTCAACGGCGAAGCGTACGCAGCTATTTTTTCTCAACTGATAGCCGCCAATACTTTACCGAACGATGAGAGATTCTGAAAAGCCATATATTCACACACCTGCATCGAACGCGAAAAATGGTGTTAGTAAATTGCAGACGGTGTAATGTATTATGTAATGTACGATAAATGAATTGCCCCGCGATAATTTACAATATATGGTTCGAAATTTGTCCAACAATAATCGAATTTAAAGTAAGATCTAACAATTAATTTTAACGCTCAGTAATTTAATTATTATTACGAAAAAATTAATTTCAAATTTGTCGATGTGTATTTAAAAAGTACAGTTTGTTTGCGAAGCTTAAAAAACTTACGTTCGACCGAATAGACTTACAACATCGACTCGCATCTGTAACTAACTCATTTAGGATTTAAGATGTACAATTAACGGACTAAATCGGGCAGCTATTCGGGATACGAGTTTACGTTGTTTCTTTTTCCTCTCCTATTAGTCGGACGATAAAACGTACATTAACGTAAGCATACGTTTTAGACTCACAAAAAATGATTAGAGAAATAAGAATGATGCCTGGGGGAAAATTTCTCAAACGAGGCAGGATAATCTTTCAAATGACTTAACGTTACTTTTATATTACGTGAATGCTGTTCATTGGTATAATGGATGACCGGTGAGTCTGATGTGCCGGCGAGGTAGGTCCGACGGAAATAACGCATACGAGACGTCAAAGCGAGGTTCGTGAAATGATGGAACAATTTTTTCGTCCTTGTCCTCGAGGCGTGTACGGTCACAATTTACATAAGCGAGCGACGTAATGGGAGGCATGCGAGGTTTTGATTGTACATTAAACATGCCCGCGCTATTAACAATAATAAGTCTTAACTCGACGCACGGAGATGCTCGGAACTGGATCGACACGGGACGGTGTCGAAAGGGACTTTCAATCGATATACGTGGGCCGCGCGACACGCATAGAAAATATATTTAAGACGCCCAACGGAGCGCAGACGTCAGAGTCATTTGTCATATTCGTAACTAGCAATGCGGATGAAGGCTCCAATTTACGTTGAGACGTGATCGGTCATATATCTACTACAGTGACGGCGATACTTCGGTGGTGCACTTAATTATTTTCTCGATAATAATATAATGGGCGACCGCATAAAAAATGTGCATTCTAATAAGCTCGCCGTTGTCGAGATCGAAATCATCAAGAAAAGTGCATGCGTAATGAAGTCGGTTATTACAATAATAAAAAATTCTCTAATCAACATCTCCGCGCAAAGTTTGGTAACAAGAGGAGTCGTTATTGTAACTCCGATGGGACGACAAAGTATTTGAGTAGAAAGAATAATTCATAATTTTATATAGTTCGTCGCCGCGCCGGGTAGATTATATGCGAAGTTTCGATTTTTAAAGTAGACCGTCTACTCCGTTTGAAGTACGCGTGGGGTTGCGGATAGAGAACTGGCCGTTCAAGTTGGTGCGACGAAGTAAGAATCGATAAAGCCAGTCGTTTGCCTAATAGACCCAACAATAAATCATCGTGCTCCCGAAACACAATCAAAGACTATTCAATAGTGAAATATGCAGGCCGAATTGGGTTTATTTATTAATCGCGTGCTTAATGCCTATTAATTATCGCAGCTATTACGTCGCGAATTTTGCTAATTATAACTTTTGCCAGTTGACTGCCGCACTTTTGAAAGAAATTAATGCATATCCGGCATCAATTTAATTTAATTATTTTATTTCAACAGGTTTGATTCAACTTATTAAAATTACTATCGAAAGAAACGCTTGCGATTCTAATAAAATAAAGATTGTGATCCATTAGACTTTAAATTGTAGTCAAAATCTAGAAATGTTTTTAATTTGTTTTCACAACTTTTTACAGTTTTAGTATTTACCGTCTGATTTCAGATGGTCAGTTTATTTAGTTTATTAGTACAAGACATTCTAAACGAGTACTTATTCCAACATGGAATTGTTTTTATTATACGATTTATCGCGGCGTATCCGATTATTACAATTTTTATGGACTGTGCTTGGTGGTTTCTGTCGCGAAAGCAGATTATATCATCAATTTGTCCTGGGTACTAAATAAAATCAATTTGCAAGGCAGCCTGACA